TGCTTGCAAGGCAGGCGCTTATGCCACTGAGCTAAATCCCCAGCCCCCAAGAAATTGACATTTTATGTGAGTTTGTGTCACTTTGAGAAAATAATGCAGGAAATCTGACCCTGTGTAAGGTGTTCCATTTATCAGACCATTTAATATGACTAACTAGACCTGGAGAAGAGCTGGAAAAGGGAGAATTTGTTGGATTTGGGATTTTATTTGGGACTTCATTGGGTTGTCTTGGCCTGAAGCAATAAATGTAGTTAGTTACCTTTGCTTTTCTTGTAGCTATTTGCAAGACAGTGATTTTGATTCTGTAAACTAACAACCACAGGATTTATAAAGAAGCTCTAGCTCAGAGAGCCTCAGCTTGTTTTTCTATTGTGCTTTACTCGACATACTCCTATCAGTGAGAGCAACTCACTTTGCCAGCTGCTACAGCTGAGAAGAGAGGAGATTAGGCATCTACCCTCCGCGTTCCTCTGCCTGCCCGCTACTGAGAATCATTGCTGTACACCTTTTGTGGGTATGTTAATTCAGGATTTAAAAGGCAGTGTGTCCTTTTTCCTGGAGCATTTCAGGCATCTTAATGATCTCAGGCACATCTCCCCTCTTAGTGCTTTCCTTGTGTAGGAATGCTTTGCCTTTTGCAGACCCCAGTGTAGAAGAAAGATCTTCAACATATTAAATCAGTACATATTTTGACAATGAGCAAAGACAATAAACCGGGCAGTGGATTCTTTCACAGCTTTTTATGGTCATCAGCTAGGCTACACAGAAGCACTAGAGTATTCCCACAATTCCTGTCTGCTATGTGAGTCTCCTCTAACACAGCTCCTCTTTCTGAAAATGAACTGTTACCTATGTTGAAAATGTTTACCAAGGGTAGGGTTTATTCACTGAAGAAGGGTTTATCTGTGATCGTGCTTACTTTTCTGATTAACTTTTAAGCCTGGAAGAAACAGATAGGACAAGCATCCTTAGTTTGACCACATTACAAAATTTCTGCTTGATTTTTTTTTGACTGAATTATTTTTACACAGAATTCATAATTAGAAAAAATGGGTTTTCAAACATAACAAGGAACATATAAAAGAGAAGTCCCATCTACCAAAAGTGACCACTGTCATGTTTCTTGTATTTACAAGACAGTGTGAATGCACATGCAAGTACGTATGTATCCTTTGTCTCTGAGGCATGAGTGTCATCATACTTTGTATTCTGTTCTGTAACTTGATTTATTCTTAAGAATATTATCCTTTTCTATGAGCATGTGCTGAGCTATCTCATTCAGGGCTATTCTTCCTGCCTGGAACAGTCTTACAGATCTTTTTATGACTTACTTCTGGCCCTTACTAAAATGCCACCTTCTTTCTGATGCCTTTCTTAAATCCTCCAACTGATATTTCACTACCCCTCCTATATTATTTTCTGTTCTTCCCTATTAATAATGACACACTTGTTTTGTATATTGTCTGCTTCCCCGTGGTAATGTATGTTACATTGGGGAGACATTTTTGAATAGATCACTCACTGTACAACCTTTAGAATAATGTTCTACCCCAAAGTAGGTGCTCGATGAATATTTTTTGTATAAAAAAGAGAATGATGACATTGTTTTCAAATTTGAGTAATTCTGTATTGTTAACTATTTTAGTTCTTAGTTTTCCTACTTTTATGAATAATTTTTTTTTTTTTTTTTTTTTTTTTGGTACCAGGGATCAAACTCAAGATCTTGTGCTTGCCAGGCAGGCGCTTAAACCACTGAGCTAAATCCCCGGCCTTTATGAATAATTTTTAAATTTTTATTAACACATATTTGCAGTACGTAATGCTTATGTTCATCATGGGAAGTTGGTACGTGTATATAATGCATGTTTTTTTTTTTTTAACCGGTACCAGGGATCAAACTCACGACCACGCGCTTCCAAGGCAGGCGCTTTTGCCGCCGAGCTAAATCCCCAGCCCCTATAATGCATCTTAATTCTTTTTCCTTCCCTTCTCTTTCGTACTACTTCCCTCCCCCTCTTGATTCCTTGCCTGTTGGAAAATGATCTTATGAATAATACTGTATTGAGTAGTCATATATATGTGTGTGTACATGTGTATATCTTTGTGCTACTGTATGATAAGTTCCTAGTGGTAAGACTGTGAATTTAAATGGTGTTTACATTTTAAGTTTTGAGAATTTTCTTCTATCATTTCCCTCCCCTAAGAAAACAAGTATCATTTAAAACTCTGCTCATACTGTTTGAAGACCCATTTCCCTTTGCTCTTATGGTATATACCAAGTATAATCAACCTTTAATGTTTAACCAGTCTGATGGGTGAAAATGATATCTCAATTTGAATCTTTCATTGTGCTTGAATTGAGCACCATTTCTTGTATTTATTCACCTTTTGTACTTATTTTTCCATTTAGCTATTCTTATCCCTTGCTTACTCAGCTGTTTTGCTTGTGTTTTTTGCCAACACATCTTTGTTTACTTTGGTCCATTTCCTCTCTCCAGGTTGTAACCAGATATAACCCCAGAGAAAGTATGCATCCGCACTACTGTTATTCTGTCCTAGAAAGTTTCCAGCTCTAGAGTACACATCTTTTTGCTTATTCTTGTTCATATTTTTTGTTTACTAGTAAAAATAATCATATAATCACTGTATGCTAGGCACTGTGCTCAGCACCTCTGTATGTGTCACAGCAACTCTAACAGGTGGTATTAGTTGTCTCCATATATACATAATTTTTGGTTGGTTTTTTTTGAGATAGGGTCTTGCTATGTATTTCAAGGTGTTCTTAAACTCACTATGTAGCCAACGCTGTCTTTGAACTTGTGATGATCCTCCTGCCCTAGCCTTCTGAGTGTTGGGATTACAGGTGTGCCTTACTACACCTTGTTTTATATAATTCTTATGTGTAAATTGAAAGATGGTGAGATTAATGCTTACTTAAGTTCATGGACCTAGTAAATGGCAAAGCCAGGATCTGAATCCAGCACTCCAGACCTGGCCTCTGTAAGTGCTGTGACATCCAGTAAGGTTAATGGTTTATTGCTCATTGTCCGTTTTCAAGTGTCCTTTCTCCTATGCATCCTTGTTCAGGAAATTGACTCTGGTGGCTGAAATAAGGGAAAGGTATTCATGTACAGGCTGGGAAGTTGTATCTTTACTTAAACACTGGCATCTAATTACCTGAAATCAAAATAGTATATTAAAAAGTGTATGGTGAAAAGTTTTGATTCCCACTCTTCTGTCATCTACTATATTTCCCCTGCATTCTACTTTTATTGGTTTCTCTATATCAGACCATTTCATTCATCAGACATTTATTGATCGCCTCTTTATAGACGGCATTGTGCGATACAGTGGATTTCACAAAGAAGCATGAAACAGGAATCCCTGCCCATAGGAAGTATACAGGCTAGTTCAGTAATGAGAGTGTAAGTGAGCAGAATGCATTTGTATTTGTATGATGTGGTGCTCTTGTAGCTAATTTGGGCCTCAATACCAAGCATATTCAGCCTTCTGAAGGGAGAAGATATGTAACTTGATCTTTGGGGCCAAATTGGGTGAGCTACTAAGTTATAAATCTCTAAAGTGTAAGAACTGCTTTATCTTAATAGCCTCTTTGGGATTTTATGATTTGAACAAATGAATGTGTACTTGGTTTAAATATAGACTTTGAGAAAAACTTTTTTGGGTCTTTTTTATTAATCCAAAGGGAAGATTTTTAGAATAGTTTTGGGTTTAGAATTCATCTCTGCTTGAGGAACCTGGTCACATTGGACTGAAGTGAAATTTTCATGCATGTGCCTGATACAGAACAGAAGGAGGAGGGCTTATCTACAGAGGGTTTGTTTGGATGAGGAATCTTCTCTGCTTGCTGAAGCTCCTCCTCCTTGCACTCCTACTGCAGGTAGAAGGTAAAAAAGAGTTTATGGCAACTACAGGACAGTATTTAACACTGTGGGTAAGCTACTCTCAATTTATGTTTTGGATCTCAGTTTCTACATATAACTATCAAAAGTCATCTATATTCCGGGCATTCCAAGGGCCTCGTGGAAGCAGTATGGCATAGTGTTTAGAAAATTACTCCAGAGCCAGCCTGCTGGTGTTGAAATTGAGTCTGCAACTTTCTTGCTATGATCAGTCACTGGACTTGTAATTGTTTCCATTGTTCCTAAGTAAACACTGCAAATCATTGAGATCTGTAAATGAATCTCATTTATTTTCCACACTGAGCTTTCTAGCCAAGGTCAGTACCTAACAGAAAAAAAATCTAGGGTCTAATGTTTAAACACTTTTCATCAAATATCATAATGCACATAGTATGAGCCTGTAACACATTCTTTATCTAAGCATTTCCATACTTGTGATGTAAAGGAATATTTTTCTATGAAGGAATACAAATCCCAAGGAAAAAATTGTCAGAGTTAAAGGTTACAAGAGTAGTCATGATATGGTTTTTCTCTCCTCTTACACCTGGCTGCTAAACTGTCCAAGGAAGAATATTTTGAGGCAGACACCCACCCAGGCCTTCTTTGAAAGCCTGTCATGTCACAGCATGGAAAGAATCTCTTTCTTTGACAGTACATTTTTGGGCGCAGAATAGGTTTTTGTTTTATTTCTTTTGTCATCCTTTTTGTTAGGAGTGTAGTTTCTGCTGACACACACCTGACTTGGAAGAGAAGGAAAAGGTTTCTTGTTGTGGAGATGGTTAGGCAACTTGATATGCCTGGGTATGCCTGTTCTTTCTTCCCTGGACCTCCAGAAGCCACAGAATAAAGGCAGTGCTTTGAAACTGGGCAAGGTAGACACACCTATAATCCTTGCACTCAGGAGGCTGACGCAGGAGGATCCTGTGAATTTAAGGTCCACTTGAATACAAAGTGAGACCTTGTCTCCAAAAAGAAAAAGAAAAAAAGAAAGAAAGAAAGAGTATGCGTTGCTTCAGGGTCTTACAGGACATGTGACAGGTTTTTTTGCATCATAATTTCTGTGATCTGTTTCCTTAGGCTTTTTATTGAGAAACTGCCAAAGCATCGAGATTACAAATCGGTTAGCCTTCCTGAAAAGAAAGATACAGTAAAGGTGGGTCTTCATTTTCATTGTTGGCCATTGAAAAGCCTCAAAGCAGTACAAAGATAAAAGTAACTGTCTGCATCTGAGCACCAAATTCTGCAATAGGAGCTAAGACTACCTCCCCAAAACAGCTATGAAGCAGCAAGTTTCATACAGTAGGGGGTATTGTAAGGCTTTTTTTGAAATATTGCTTCTCTTACAATTTTAGGTGGGTTTTTTGTTGTTGTTGTTGTTGCTATTCTCTATTTAACTGGCATTAGTATTGTTCTAAGCCTCAATTTCTGTTTCGTATCTCAGAAGTTAAAGGAAATTGCATTTCCCAAAGCAGAAGAACTGAAGGCAGAATTGTTAAAACGATACACCAAAGAATATGCACAATATAATGAAGAAAAGGTCAGTATATAACAGCACAGAAAAAAAAAGACATTTTTTTTTTTCTTAAATTGTGCCCTGGGATTGTAATGTTCTATCAATAGATTCTGTCACTTTAATGTCATAGTTTGCTTTTTTGGGAGCAAAGGACAGTTACTCAAGCATAGAAAATCAGTGCTTAGGCTGAGAACTCTAACAGATTTAGCCTACTTGTCCAAAAGTGTGACTTGAATGACAGAAAACTATTACCTGTCTGCCATGTCTAGAGCAATAACCTCAAAAGTAATAAAAGTTCTCACCAAAACCTACGATTATAGATCTTAGAATTTGGAGGTTTGATTCACATTTGGTTATACCCAAAAGTATTTGTAGTACTTTATTTTTCAAACTGTCCTCCAATGATTCTTGTTGGGAGGTGTCAGTAAAAGCATGCAGAAAAATGCCCAGGATACTATAGTGGTGTGTGTCACACGTGAATGTATACTGCAGGCTCGTATAGGTCATTGTAAATCTTCTGGGCTCTGTGCTGTACTGTAGTGTTAAAAATCAACAGAGAAGTGAACATTTCTAAGGCATTGAGTGAGTGAACATTTTAATGGAGGTTGTAACTTTGGTATTTTTTACTGGTTTATATGTCACTCTGTTGAACTGATCATCAGAAAAATTTTAGAGGCTTCATTTTGGGTTCACAATCAGTAGGGACTCCCAACATAGCTGATACGAGTATAGATTTGGTTCTATTTTATAACCTTACTTGGATACAGAGCTTATACATGGCATGTATGCATACATAGAGAATAGAACTGTATGTGATACAGGCTGTGGGGTACAGGTACATCAAGATTTCAGTAAAAAAGAAAATAAGGAGAGTCATCAAGGGAGCATACTGAGAGGACTGAGACTTTATGAGACTTTAACTGTCCTTGAAGGTCATATTCAGCAGCTTGGTAGAAAGTCGTGAGGACTATTTTAGTAGCCATAGAGCTCCCAAGGGAAGCATGAATTCAATGTTAGGAAAACAGACCAGAGCAGAAGTACATATTGGCAGTCTACTTGCTGAGAAGACTTCCTCTTCTGAGTTGTGAAGTATTAGTATAGAGATTTTGTTTCTTTTGGTCTCTTTGTAGAGGAAGGAGGCGGAGGAATTTGCCCGGAACATGGCCATCCAGGAGGAGCTGGAAAAGGAAAGACAGAGGGTAGCCCTACAAAAGCAGCAACAGTTGGAACAGGAACAGTTTCATGCCTTTGAGGAGATGATCCGGAACCAGGAACTGGAAAAGGAGCGACTAAAAATTGTACAGGAGTTTGGGAAGGTGGACCCTGGCCAAGGTGGCCCACTGGTACCTGACTTGGAAAAGCCCTCTTTAGATGTGTTCCCCACCTCGCCTGTCTCATCCACACAGCCTTCAGACTGTAATTCAACCCTAAGGCCAGCCAAGCCACCAGTAGTGGACAGGTCCTTGAAACCTGGAGCACTGATCAACTCTGAAAGTAGTGAGTCCATTTGCTGAAATTCTCTTCCACCCCTTTTGTAGCCATTAATTGTAAGTATTCAGGGTATGAGTATCCCCTCAATGCCACTTCCTAAGCTTTGGTGACAGAAGCCTATTTGTTAAGTAGAGTCATATTGTGTCCTATCACACTGTCTGTCTCTCCCATAATAGTGGCCTTTGCTAAAACCATATAATTTAGCTACAGTCAGATCAATTTTCTGAAAAGCTACTAATATCATTGGAAGTTAAACACGCAGCTTTTTTAAATTTTTGGCTTTTTGATCTGAGACGGTCTGATTATATATTCTAGGACAGCCTTAAACTCACAGTGATACTCCTACTTCAGCCTTCCAAGTGCTGCAATTACAGACATGCCATCACACCCACCTGGACTCTTAATTTTAATGGTCATATAGAGATTTGAAACGTTTCATGAATTAGAGACCACTGTTGGATTTTTGTAAAAAATAATTTTTAAATGTATAATACTACTGTGCAATTCAGTGACTGATTCTTAAAAAAACAAACAAAAACCCAAAATGAGCTACTGAATTGTGTTTGCCCTAAAAGCATTCCTAATCGTTAAGAACTTTAGTCCAGGGAAACAGTGGACATAGTAGGTAATAAATCAGGTCAGCCATAACAACTCAATAATTGGTTATCAAGAGTATAATTGGGGCAAAATGATGAGTATACTTGATCATTAGAGTAAATTTTGGAAGAATTAACTTTCAAGTGGTCATTTAAAGAAGACTGTCAGGTTTCCAAGATGTTCCCTGGACTGTCTTACCCAAATAGATTCGTTCACATTTGCCTTCTGTCTAGACTTTCCTTTCACTGTTTCTGCCTTCTCTGCTTTTCTTGAAGTTTTTCCAGGTCCCTTTAATCCAATTGATTCTGTTCTCTGTAAAACTCCCAGAGCTCTTTTTATCTCTAATACAATTTAGATCACTTACCCACTAGTGTAGACATTTGTCAATAACTAGATTTAACTTCCCACATGTTAGGGCTTGAGTGTGTTCCCTGTGGGCTGAGCATAGTGCCTACTTGGTATATGCTTAGTAAGTGATTATTGAACTGAAAACAAAGGACTGTGCCTATGCCAAACCTTAATTTACCCTCTTTAGATATAGTCATCAAGCTGCTGTGTGACTGACTGTGAGTCTCTGGGTCTGTGTTTCCTCTCTGGAAATACAGAGAGGAAAAAATCTGTATTGCTAGAGAAGAACATTCTTTTTTATTTCATTGTGTTGTTTTGTTTTGTTTTGTTTTAAGACAGGATCTTGTTATGTTGCCCAAGTTGGCCTTGAACCCCTGCTCCTACTACTTTGTCCTCCCAAGTAGCTGGTATTAGAGGCACGCACCACCACACCCAACCATTTTTTACTTTTTTAATATGAAAATACAGGTGATACTTTCTACCCATAGCTTGCTGGCACTCTCTTCAGGAACTGTGTCCATTCTTAGCATCCTGAAGCAGATTTATGAGTAGCTTCTTCATGCTTTTTAGGGGAAACCAGGCTATGTGTTTTTTTACTTGAGGTTTTATTTTAGTATTTGAGCTTTCTTATAAAAGATCAAATTCATAAGTAAATAACTAACTAAATAATTTTCCACTGTCAAGAATATATACTGATGTGTTTCCTTTTTTTTAAATGTGTTTTTTAAATATCAGGGAGCAAACTCATGACCTTGTACTTGCCACGCAGGCACTGTGCTGCTGAGCTATAGCCCGAGCCCCTCTGATGTGTTTCTTTGAAAGACATACCCCGATCTTCCTAGGAGATGAAAGAGGGTTATGAAATTAAAAGTTCACTTGGATGGGAAGTTTTTTTTAATCCTTTTTATTAGAGTCTGTCAGAGTATCTGCAAATATCTAAGGATCTTTTTAAAGTAGTAGTTTAAGCTGGCCATGTGGTATCCACCTGTCATCTCAGCACAGGAGGCTGAAGCAGAAGGACTTCTAGGAGTTCAGTGCCAGCCTGGACTGCATAGTGAAACTCTTTCTCAAACAAAGAGTAAGGCAGAAGGATCCTTATAAGTTCAAGACCATCTTACACTACAGCGTGAGCTCAAGGCCAGTCTGAACTGCATAGTGAGACCCTGTCTCAAACCCTCCCCCCAAATAGCAGTTTATTCTTGTCTTACCTTAAATGATTAAAGCTTACTCTTTTTTTCATTGTGATATCAAGAACATCAACTCAAAAGTCTAAAGTTCAGTTCCATCTGAATCAGATATATGTGAGACATAAGACACAACTCATCCTTCTCCAGCTATGCGCATGTAAAGTTGACAAGTTATGTGTTTCCAAAATACAGTGGTGGGACAGGTGTACAATAGTCACTCCCATTCCAGAAACAAGAAATAGACAAAAGGAAAGGGGTAACTAACTGGTCCCAAGTAAGTCTAAAATGTAGTAGAGAAAATACTATGTCTCATATCTAGAGAATAATCTTTGACTCTATGTCCTGTATCCTGGGCACACTGGGTTGGGACATGGACCCTCAAGGGCTCAGACAGGCCTATCTCTGTGGCTTTGCTGGGCTTTGTGCGCCCACCAGCTCTCAAATGTTTTGAGTCTCAGCTTTGCAGGCTGGATTTACATGCTGGGGGGTCTTGCACTTCTGTTGTGTTAAGGGGGTATCCCCCACTTAAGGCTGCAATCTATACTGCCCTAGTGGGACTCTTTGTGGTGGCTTTGCCCTGTGGTAAGTCTCTGCTTGGTCTCCCAGGCTGTCTCTAACATCCTTTGAAATCTAGATGGAGGCTGCCGCGGCCCCATAGCTCTCAGAGGAATTGGTTCATGTTATTATGGAGGCTGAAAAGTCCCCTAACAGACTCTATGCAGGATGGATATCCTAGAACACTGGTAACATAGCTACATCCACATGCTAAAGAATGTAGGGCCTGGGAAGCCAGGAGGCCACTATGCAAGTCCTGGAGACCTGATGCTACAGATAGGAGAGTGGTATCTGCTCCAGGAGATACAGAGGAAGGAAATTGCCTTTCTCCTGCCTCATGTTCCATCCAGGCCCCCAGCTGTTTGTATGGTGACCACTCCTATCAAGGACAGCTTCTCCATAGTCTGTGGACCCACACCCTAGTTTCCTTCAGAAAAACCCTCACAGACACACCCAGAAATAATGCTTTACCAGTTCTCTGGGTGTTCCATCATCTAGTCAGGTTAATATCTACAGTTAACCATCACGGTTCCCAATAAGCTGTGGCCAGAAGTTAAAGAAGAGACCTTACAATCCTTTGGTGACAGCAGGATGAGATGCCCACTCACTGTCTGAAGCTAGGGGAACCGCAGCTGCCAGCTGTGAGGTCTGCTTCAGGAGACTCAGTCCTGTGGTCTCAGACCTTTTTCTCTTTCCCACTACAGTTCCTACAATTGACGGATTGCGACATGTGGTGGTGCCTGGGAGGCTGTGCCCACAATTTCTTCAGTTAGCCAGTGCCAACACTGCCCGGGGAGTAGAGACTTGTGGAATTCTCTGTGGAAAACTGGTAAAAACAAACGGCCTTTTCTAAACTGAGACTGTGTCTTCCCCTTGGCCTCTATGACTCAGAACATATTCAGGGTCAGTTATTTTTTATTCCAGGCCCTTCACAGAAGAAACCATGGACTCTATGTAATATGGTCCCTTAGATTTGGTGGCTCTGTATTTGGTTGTTTTCCAAAGTGTCATGAATTAACTTGATTAATGCTATTGTTAGAAATTCTAATCACACTGAAATATCCAGGTGTGCCTGTATATCATCTGAGCACCTGCTTTGTGGTAGGGCTTGGGAATATAAGGCGTATAATATGAGATGTGATTGAAACATCTAGTAATGTTTGATTTTTAAAAAATTATTACTATAAAAGATGTAGTGCTATTAATCCTTCTCAAAATACCCCACACACCTTAAATAATTGTAAACTGCTTCAGAAAGTGATAAGAATGATGAGGTAAGTGTATTTAAGACAAAGCAGAATATTCTAATTGGGATGAATGGCAGTGTGTCTTCTGCTGTAATTTTTTAAATTTAACATTCAGTGTAGTTTTTGATGACCTCATACATGTTCACAAAAAGTGTCCATTCAATTTAGAGAAATGGAAAACATACACTAAAAAATGAAAAGCATGTTGAGTAGTATGTACAGTATGAACACTAGGAATTTTGAAGAAGGAAAGATCACTGAATGGGTGTACCTAAAGGACTGCAGAATGAGCCATGAATGAAATGCAAGAGACTTAACTTGAGCCTTGAAGGAGAAGAATGTAACAGTGAAAGAGAAACTTGCTTTAGGTGTGAACAGGGCTGTAATGTCTCCAGGCTGTGTCTCAGATGGTGTTCTGAGGTTGGTTTCAGCATCCGTCATTTTACAGAGCACTCAGCAACGCACATGAGCAGCCATGGTTGTAAACCCTCAGGTGAGGGATTCAGGGAGCGCAGAAGAGACCCACACTGGGATGGGAAAAGGCCTTCACTGTGTACGTGCTTAACTCTTCACTGTTAGGGCCAATGGGGTTGCAAGAGTGTCAGGGCGTCATGGTGCTTGTTTTCTTCTTTGGCAGATGAGGAATGAATTTACCATTACCCACGTTCTCATCCCCAAGCAAAGTGCTGGATCTGATTATTGCAACACAGAGAATGAAGAAGAACTTTTCCTCATACAGGATCAGCAGGGTCTCATCACACTGGGCTGGATTCATGTAAGAAAATCTGAGCTAAGTGCTTGTCTTCTCTTTTTTTCATTGTGCAATAAGCACGCTGTTTGAATCTCTCTCTGTCTCCCTCTCTGTGTGTCTCTCTCTCTGTTTTGAGGCAGGGTCTCACGATGTAGTTCATGCAGGCCTTGACCACTGTGTAGCTCAGGCTCACGGATCCTCCTAAGTGCTGAGATTACAGATGTGCACTACCACACTTGATTTATCTTGGAACAAATTAAACCAAATCCAGATTATTTATTGTTTTTCCTCAAGCTTATTTGACTGCTTGCATTCCAGTTTTGATTTCAGTGTTTATGAAGCAAGATATACCTTTATGTAAACAAAAAGTACCACCAATATACATGTTTTCAAACTTTGTGTAGACTTCTCATGATGTTTTGGTAAAGTATAATTCCTCCCCTAAAGATTATTTCTTAACTTTTTCTATTTCTTTTAACCCCTCCTCATAGCCTTGGCTGCTTTTCATGTATGAGATATGTGACTTGCCAACAAACAAATTGGCTTATTTCTGGATTTAAGAAGATCACATATACTTGTATGTTAGAACAGGAGACACTGACCTGTGAGATGATCTCATGTGCCTTCATCCTTTTTTTCAGTTTAGTTACATAAATATTTACTGATTTGCCTACTGTTGTGCAACCCCCTCCATTGTCATAGATGGGTGATAGAAAACTTGCCCCCTATCTGCGAGGGAATATAAATGTCTGTAAAATATGATTTTAGTCTCATAAGAGGTTGCAGAAATAGACAGTGAAGAACTCTTCCCCTGAGATGGAGTGTGCCAAGAGCCCCAAGAGGTGTCAGTAGGGCACGGTGGAATTCAGAGGAAGGAGAGCTCCTACCTAGTGTGCTTAATGAAAAGTCAGACAAGATGGGTCAAGGAGGAGCTCACTGAAGGGGCACCATTGGGAGGGGGACGTTTCTGAGCAGGACAATGATGACCAAAGTCATACTTTAGGAAACTTACGGGCTATTTAAGGTAGGTTGAAATGGAAAGATCATTTTAGAGGTTAGCGTGGTGATAAAATTGAGTAAGATGAGAGCAAGGATGATGACAGTGTGTTTGGGGAGGAGGAGGAGGTGATGGGCTTCAGAGGAACTGGGGAATGAGTAATAAAGGATAATGAGTAAGAGTCAGTGATGACTCAGAGATTTCAGGCCTGTGTGGGGGTGGCGGTGATCATCTCCGAAGCAGACAAAAGGAGTCCAGGAGGAGGACTGACTTTAGAAGTGGGGTTCAGTTCAGAGCATGTTGATTGTAAGGGATTTATGAGCCATCAGGTTGTTGGAGGTACTTATCAGGCCATTGGAGCCAGGTCAAAGCAGGAGGGAGACCTGGAAGTCTTCTGCCCAGAGCTGGCCCTGAAAGTAACAAGGAGCAATGAGAGCAAGAGGAGAAACAACTTGGGACATAAGCTAATAAGTTTTTGGTAATAAAGCAGGTGCTTGAGAAGGTAAGGTCCATGTTAGGGCACAGAAATAACCGGAAAGGCGGGAAACCGGAAGAAGAGGTTTTGGGATACTGACTGTGCCACATAACACAGAGAACTCCAGCATGGCGAGGACCTGGACCAACCTGTCGGATTGGTTGAAGTCACCATGGATGTTGGTATGGGGTTTTAGGCAGTGGTGGGGTTAAGAAGTCAGGGGATTGAGGCTGTGGCAACCGTGAAGTGGGCACTGCCGTTTTGAGTAGTTTATAGGAAAAGAGAGAGGTGGTGTGGTGACTTGAACCTAACTTGCATGCACTTTAGTGAGTCCTGAAGTAACATCTATGGATACCTACGTAAGTAGAGGAATAGGTGCTTTCGGGGACCTTCTATCCAGTCCTGTTTCCTTTTTGGAAAAAGTGAGACTTCTGCTTTTTCTCATCATCTCTTCCTTGCTTTATTTATAGATACCACCTACATGTGTATCCCTAAACACTATAGTTTAACTTTGCTTGGATTTGACATTTTTATAAATGGAGCTATACAATAGTATTTTTATTTCTTCTTTTATCAACCTTTTGAAGATTCACCCATATTCTGAGGTATAGTTGTCTAAATGTTTTTATTTCCAGTGAGCTGGTGGAGGAGGGACAGAAGGGCAAGAGAAGCAAGATAATGTGACAGAAGGAAAATATCAAATCAGAGGTACAAAAGGAATTCATCTTGCCATGGAAGAGAAAACACCTATTCCTCCAAGACAGGATTAAAGGATGAAAGAGACACAGAGAGTTGTGAAATATTTAGAGAAGTCAAGGAAACTCATCAGACCAATCATCTTGATTTTGGAGTCTGGGTCTGCTGCTAGAGTTAGATTTAGAAACTGGAGGAGTTGGGGGAAAGTTTGGGATAATTACTGTTTAGACTTCAGGAAGAACTTGTCCGCAAATAAATAAAGGTTTCTAAGTATCATTGAGGGCCCAGCTCTGAACGAATTTAGAGCCTGTGCAACTATTTCCCCCATGATATTTCTGCACCATTTCTTCCTAATTTGAGATTAAAAACAAAGCAGATCATAAGTTTTGTTCAGACCTTAAAATTTCAGGAGGAGAATGCAAAAGATCAGTTCTTCCTTCTGTGTGTTAGCACCTGTATAAATCCGCTTCCCTGGGCCAAAGCATTGCATGGTCATTGATCATAAACATTGATCATAAACTCTTGGCAGCCCACCACCACCAGTACTGGGGGCTGCCTCCTCCCCCGCTGTCTCAGCCCTTCTCTGTCCTCACTGCTCTTCCTTGTGGCTGCTGTGCTCCCATCCAGACACACAGGGGCCCCTCAGCGTTCCTTGCTCACTCTGCTGCTTTGGCATACTGTTATTTTATGAAAGTGCCTTCTTCGATCCACAGCAGAGTAGACACAGTAACCATCACTATTTGTCTAAGAAACTTGACGGCATTGAGAAGTGGAGGAGGAGAGAAGGCATAGTAGCTGAAAGGGGGCTAGGGGAACAAAGCAAGGTTTTCTAAATTCAGGGTCATTTACCAAACCCCTGTCATATCTCTTTATTATCTTTCAAGCCGCCCAACTTTAGATTTTAGGCCTTGATTGGCTGGTGTAGACCTCTTTTGCGTATACCTTGAATTCCAGGCTAATAGCCATGAGATGAACAGTGTTAGTTCAGAGTCTGCTCCTTGCTAGTCTAAAGGAGTATGTTACCATCAGGTAGAAACTCTTTTCCCTCATGGTCACCAAAATCCTTATACATCCTCTGAGAACCCACTTAGATCACACTTTGCTCCACAGATCTCTTCCATTCTGCATAAGCTTGTCTCAGCATGCTGTGGAATGATGTTTCATAGACAGGGCTCCAGATCCAAATCACTTGGTGAGCTTTTAAAAAGTGTTCACTCTCATGGTAGCTGTTTCCAGGAGAGGGTACAGGAGTCTGTGCTTCTGACAAACTTCTCTGGAGTTGCAAGTTTTGCACAGTACATTTGAAAACACTAGTCAATTGTACCTGTTTATTTTCTGTGCTTTTTAGCCAGTGAAGGTTGATGTCCTTTTTGAGTCATGTTGGATTTTACTTTTTCCATTCCTCTTACCAAGAATCACACCCCTCTAAGGCAAACATAAGTCTATATAGTTGTCTGTTTGGGCACAAATAATATGCCTAATAAAACATAAGTAATTGGGAATGAATGAAAGCAAATACTGCCCATTTAGATGTTGCTTTAACTGATGTCCCTCAAATTTCAGCATCTTGTTCTTTTGCCAAAGAAGCAGTCTCCTTTACCTGATTTAATGAGTCCCTAAAATCCGAGTAGCCCCTATCTCCCATATCTTCCCAAGGTGGTACCTTAACCACAGAGTAAATTTTGCCTGTAGACTTATGCTTGACTTTTTAACAATACTTATCTCAAGAAAAAAAAGAATCATGCATTGTGGCTTATTAAGTCCTTGATTTTCATCATGTTGAAATATGGGACAGCATGTACCATCTGCTCTGGAATGGGTGAGTCTCCATTGGTATTAAGAGAGCTTTCCAGGAGCCTGTTAAAAATAGTGAGACTCTAGAACAACCATAGCTTGAATCATCCAAAGAGATACTCACACTGCTTCAAGAAGATAAAAAGGAGAAATTCCCAAAAGAAGTCCCAAGCACCCAAGTCTCATGCCATTCACCATTGTTTTCATTTGTTTGTTTCTTGCTACTTAGTCCATGCTGGCCTTGAACTCACTGTGTGACCCAGGCTGGCCTTGAACTCATGCTGAACCTCCTGCCTCAGCCTCCTGACTGCTGGGATAGCAGGCATGTGCCATCATACCAGCTACCATACACCATTGTTGAGGACACCGACTTACTTTTTTCATGGAGGCCCATCATAATAACAGCCTCAGTTCCATGGATCTCAGGGTGAACTCAACATCAAAGTCCTTAAGTCTTCCTGTTTGGTGTAAGAACAAGAGGCCAGAGCAGAAAACATCCACAAATAGTCTTCTCCTATCTCCAGCCCCCGGGCATAGGTGCCTTTGTTGTTCTCTGCTGCTGCTGTGCCTGTGATCTTTGCCCTGCAGGTATCCTTGGTTGTCCCTACTTGCCTGACCACCACACTGGGCTCACCTCTAGTCATCATACCCAAGAGGGGTAGTTACTCTCACTTGTCTTCCCTGTGACACCCAAGACCCAGCTGTCACCTACCTGTCACACCTGAGACACAGAGTATTCAGGCCTCCAGCACTCTTGCCTCCCACAAAATCAATCTCCACGCCCTAGATGCCTGCAACCCCAGACCTGTCTCCTGTTCTCATGCAAGAGAGGCAGTTCCTGGCCTAGTGAGTGTGCAGCGCAGATCCCATATAACTCTACCTCCACTGATATCAGTGTTGACATCCCACACACACACCCCTGCCCTCATGCGTCTCTGTACCCATAATGCCATCCACACGCTGGACAAAGATCTCCTTACAAGAATCCACACCTAAACACCTGTATGGGTGTGAATGTCTGACACACCACCTAGTGTGGGCCTCCTACTCAGTTTCCAGGCATGTGGACCCCAATGTTGACTTCTGCCTTGCCCATTCTGACCTTGGAATTCAGTTCATCTCCACTCTGCAATAGTATTCAAGTGTCGGCATTACACATCGATAGATATTTCCCTCACAAAGCACCAGATGAGGCTTGAGCTGGACCCTCTCCATACTCCACTAATTTAATGGCTTCCCATTTGCCCTTTGCTTTGATACCTTCCCTCCTCAAGCTCTGTAGCCTACAGCTCACCACCTAGGCAAAAATTCCAGAACCCATTAGACTGTATGAACCAGTGAGATTGAAGTTCCCATTATGAAGTGTACAGAGGAAAAAGTTTTCCCCTTTCTCTTCTTTATTCCCTCTTGCTACAAGAGGTCAAGACATCTCCACTGTCTTCAAATGAGAAGCAAGGAGCTTTCAATCTTCTTGGTCCTCAGTTTATTCTTGCTTCCTGAGAAGGTCACATGAGTGAGTTAAATGAAATATGCTGTCTTATTTCATATCTTCTCTGTAATTGAGTTAGGATGATATGTGCATTTTTCTGGGCTTAATACTACATTTCTTTCAGACATAAATCACCCCGTCCAGCAGAACTTCATGAAGTCCCAGGCCAGGGTTTTGCTCATTGTATGTGAGGGCGTCTCTAATGTATCCAGCCGCCCAGGAACTAAAATGGCATCTCCCTACACTGCTTTCCCAAACTTCCCGCCATTCAGCTGCCATTCTGTCCCAGTGGATTACATCTAAGTTACTTTATTTTCTTTCTAAGTTACTTTCCTCCCCTTGTCCTTTCTCACTGCCTTCCTCACTACAAACAATTCTTCCACTTTCCAAAATTTGCTTATTCCTCTATTCTGTAAACTTTTGTTCATTTTATTCCTTGTTTTCTAGGACTTTATAATGGAAACATCTGTTTTTCTTTTTGACAAAAATTGCATATATAATGTACAACAGGGTGTTTTGAAACAAAAACATGAATCTCTTCATATGTATTATACTAGTTTACTAAACTGGAAAAGAACTTCCTTCCTTATTATGAACTTCAAGGGTGCCCCTCTAATTGCAGATCTCTTTGTACATACCTGGAGAGGAGGTGGGACCAGCTGTTGGGAGCTCCTTGGGCCAGCCTCGCTTCCTGGACCTGCTGTGGCTCTTTGTGCTCACCAAGACTTCTCACCTTGTTTTCTCTTCTCAGACTCATCCCACACAGACCGCCTTTCTTTCCAGTGTCGACCTACACACCCACTGCTCCTACCAGATGATGTTGCCAGAGTCAATAGCCATTGTGTGCTCCCCCAAGTTCCAGGAGTGAGTACCCCAGCACATGCTTCTGGCTGTTACAAGGGGGCAGTAAGGAAAATACCTGAAAGCAAAAGGACTCTGTTCTTGAGACCGTGTTCTTTATAAACTACACAGACTACACTGTTAATTAGCTGTTCTAAAAGACTTCTGTTAAGCACTATATTTTTAAAAACCTAACTTACTTATTTTAAAAGATATTCAAGTAACAGCTTTGTTGCTTTTCTTAAAAAAAAAAAGGTCCACAAGAAACTTGAAGTTTGACTTGAAGTGATAGAAACGTCAAGAGTTTAATGCTAGATTAAAAATTTCAAAATCAAACACGTTATCTGAGAGTTTTCACTTCTTTTTCATTCCAAGTCCTATTTTTTTACTACAAATTCTTCTGTTTTGGCAGCAACAATGAATCATCCCTTAACTATGATTCGTTCACCACTAAGCATCTTGTAAGCCAGCATTATATGGAAGCTGTCTCAAAAAGAGCTTTCCAGGGCCAGGGATATAGTTCAGCGACATAAGTGCCTGCCTAGCAAATGCAAGATTATGAGTTCAGTTCCCAGTACCCTGGCCAAAAAAGCTTTCCTGTGCGTTTATGTATGTGCATCCCAGGAATGTGTGTGTCTATGTGCCTGCATGCATGCATGTGGTAGGGCTGGGTGGGCACCATTGCTTGACTCTGAGCCTGCCTTTTCTAATTTCAGAACTGGATTCTTTAAATTAACTGACCATGGACTAGAGGAGATTTCTTCCTGTCGCCAGAAAGGATTTCATCCACACAGCAAAGATCCACCTCTGTTCTGTGTGTGTATTCATGTAGGAGAAATTGGTGATATATTTCAAGCAAGGGAACCAGCCAATGCAGTACAGCATCTTTCCACATGGAAAATCAGGCTGTTGGTTACCTTTCCAGGTCTTCATAATAAGGATACCTACATGGAAAGCAGTGTGAAATGGAATTAAATTTGAGTCACAGCTCTGCCAGTTAATAACGAGAAACAGAGAGAGATAGAGATGCATCTATATTTGAGGCTACTTGTCCTTCTAGTACCTCATCTTTCTCATTTGTAAAGTATGTATAATAATTCGTTCTTTATAGGGTGGTGGAGAGGATTACTGACTTGAACCACCCCTGGTACATGTGTGACTTTCCCATTGGGCAGCTTATACCATCAGTGGTACATGCATGAGTGTCCCATCTGGTGGTACAAGGTGTCCAGTGGGACAGTCATGCATGTGTGGCCTCACTGTGAACTTGTTAGGTAGAGGCTGGAGGTGCAGCTCAGCAGTAGAATGTATGCTTAGCATGTGTGAGGCCCTGGATTCAGTCCTCAGCACTGTCCTCCTCTCCCACAGCAATATGTAGAAAGTATCTAATTGTGGTAACTGGCTGTTTAAATGTTAGTTTGGTTCTTCATGAATGGCCATTGGTAAGCCTGTACTTCATTAAGAAATGTGAATACAGAGGGAAAAAGCCACTTTAGTAAATTAAATATGTTTGACTCTGGAAATTTGCTTAGATAATGGAGATTTTAGGGCCTTCCTAGGAGGTTGTTTTCTGTGAATAATAAGTTTAGTTGATGATAAGACCACTATGTTTCCATTTACCATAGATTAAATGTAATAGTTTTACTTTTCTCTGTACTGACCTACAGTATTGATACTTCTTTTTGGATTCAGAGAAGAATTACCAATTTAGAAAAGAGACTCAGAACTTGTCTTATAAAAAGAACTGGGTCACAAGTTCAAGCGTAGCTTGGGCAGCTTAGCAACTTAATAAGAGCCTATGTAAAATAAATAAATAAACCAACACAAGAAGAAAAAAAGCTTAATATGAAGTCCCTGGGTTCAGTCCCCACTACTGAAGATATAAACAAAAAATACAAAAACAAAAAAATAAAAAGAAGTAGGATTTCTGTACAAAAAAACCCAGAAAGGATCTCATGGCTAACTTTTAAATAGTAGACAGCTCATGTATAAAAAAATGGTATCAGGTATACTTCATACCACTCTCAGCCTGAAAACTAAGACCTCAGGGAATAATAGCTTTCAGCTGAATAGAAGGAAGAATTTTTCTAACAGATTTTTTCAAAATTCAGTCTGCCTTGGATGTAATAAATATGAAAGTACTAGCTGTTGAATAGACTACACACTTAGAAAAAAGGCAGGACACAACCGCACAGGTTGCTAGTTACAAAGACTCCTGTTGCAGCCCCAAAGTGAGTGTCCTTCTATGTGATAGTAAGTGTAATAAGTTTTTTTGATCATTCTTTAATTAACAATAACCAAAAAAGCTACAGTGACTATCTTGACTGTTGGAATTAAATATATATTTTAAAACAACTCTAGAATACATTTGAACAATAAGGATTTATGGGCAGACATTAATTCAGTCTAGAAGTAGGACCAGGCACATTGCCATCACTGCCAGTTAAGTAGCAGTCTGGCTTCCAGAGTTCAAATGAGCATTTTAAATGAGAGTTGTTAAAAAATGACTTTACAGAATTTTTTAAGACTTTACCTTTTATTTTCTCTGTTGCAGAGTTGTAACCATGTGACTGTTGTGGACAGAGCAGTGACCATCACAGATCTTCGATGAGAATTTGACTCATACACTTGAGGACTATAAAACCTTATCAGTGTACTGTAGCCCCTTAATTTGAGCTTTCCAGAAAGCTTTGGAAGCTTTTAAAGACAGAATAGGACAGGGCTATCACTTGGGGAAGAATTGATTTTCCCTATCAGTTTGAAATGAAAGAATTGGATATATATTTTTAGGCAAATCTGGTGGAAAGGAGCATGATCACACTACAGCAACTAACTCAAAAATTAAATTGAAAGAATGGTGTAATGAACACTCACATACCCTTCTTTCTAGATTCACAAATTTTTAACCTTCCATTGCTCTCAGCTGTCTTCTAATTTACCTATCAACTTGTTTATTATCTACCTTTGTACTAAATGAGGGCATCTATGCAGAAATTTGGAAGCCATTTAGAAACCATTTGGGATTGTCCTTCGGTTTAGGCAATATTAATGGCACTGATTACAAGGGTGAGGGGCAGCTCACTACGTCTGAACAGATGGTGAGGCCTCGGAACCCTGAAGAATGGTGTTATCAGGAATTATGTTATTTAACAAATACTTCAGGATATTTCTCCTGTATAATAAAATGACTTAACTTATTCGGCTATAGAGTGATCCATTTGATGGAGCCTCATATAAACAAGTTGAATGAAAGCTCTGGTTCTGGGAAAGGTACGGGGAAAAGGAATTGGAGATGTGCTGACACTGAGATGTGTCCCACTTCACTCTTATTGTTCAGCGTTTTCCTCTGTCTGCTGCTGCCTTCCAGGGACATGAAGTCATCTTTCTTCTGGTGCTGTCTCAACTGGGTCACCCCTCTGCTTCCTCCTTACACCCCACAAACTTTCAGCTAAGGATAGTAGGTTACGCTTCAATTAATGGTAACATTCTCTAGCCATCCCTTGTCACAAATTCCACTGTGGTGCCTATTTTTTTCTGACTTGAGCATCACTTAGGAATGTGTATGAAGCTATCATTGACTCTCCTTTCTTTTTCTGTGAGCTGAGCCTAGTATTCTGAGATGGCCGAGAAATAATGTTGGCACTGGTGACACCTAACATGAGGGTACCGCAGTAAATACCTTGAATAGAATAATGATTTATTTCTATATTAGAATGGTGTGTGGGGGTGAATATATGAAATTTTGCTTCATTGTAAAGTTTTGTGTCCTGTGTCTTTATTGCTTAAGTTATTGGCCGTTGAACTTTCTCCTAGAAGAATCAAATCTTTATATTCTTCTTCTTTTCAAGTTTTAATTCCCAAGGTATCAGGAATTCTTTCTCCTGCAGTTTTTGGGGTAAGATGGAATGAGGAGGCCAAGTGGGTCAGACTCCTCTGCTGACCCAGAATTAGCCTGGTTGTTCTTCTTTGTCCTGAGCAGTCCTGAAATTTCCTGTGCTTTCCAGGAAATCTATGCCTTTCTATTACTTATTTTGGGACTGTATTACTTTTTGCTTGGACCTTGCAGTAAGTGTGGATTAACTCTCTTGTTCCAGTGTGTGCTGCACATTATAGTCATTTTCACGTTACCTCTCTTGCTCAGAAACCTACAGTGGCTTGCTAACTACTAGCATCTAAATTTAGCCTTTACTCAGAACTTTCCTCCAATGGCCACATAAGTTTCTTACCCCTGTCTATATTTTTAAATACCTAGGGAACTTTCAAAGAGATACTGATGCCCATACTCCTCCCCACATCAGTTAAACCTGGTGGATGCTAGACATCGTTTTTGTTCTGTCTTCTTTTTCTGTCTTTAAAGCTGCTAAGATTCTCAAGTGGAGCCAGAGCTAAAATCCCAAAAAAGTAGTCCTTCATATCTAAGAATTATGAAGTATTTTCCATCTCTGCACATCATTGACATTCAGTGAATGTTTTTTGAGCCCAAGTGAATTAAAGGTATTACAATTACATTCATTACCAGCTGGTCACCAAACAGCCATGTTTTCTTGCTTCTGCCACTGTGCACAAGATATCTTAGTTGCTAAAGGATGCAGTACATCAGTCTACAGATCCCTCTTTGCACCTGCTACTATGTAACCTCTGAGAGCACAGGATTCAGTCTCTCTCTACTCTATCGCGGTAGGAGAGAGGTGGCATAAAACCAGCCCATCTGGAAGCAGGGAGGCTGAGTAGGCAAGTGGAAGGGATAAGGAGCTAGAGTTTTAGGGGAAAAGGAAAACAATATTTTCAATAAAAGCACTCAAACCATGAAACTAAGAACAAGCCAGTGTTGGAAGGATTATGATTACTCAGCTATAGAGGCTGATACCTGGACTCCAGAACCTCAGAGGCCAGCTCTCTCTCCAGCTGCATGAGTACCATGCTCTAAAGGCTCCAAGGCAGGGTAGCATGGCAGAGGGGCATCGCAGAGGAGAAACAGTTCATGGTGAAGAGAAAGCAGCGGAACAGTGAAGAAGCAGTGAGCATAGGAGGCCCGCTCCCCTTGGCCGTTCATGGCTTCTGGGTTTCATTTCCCAGCTCTTGTGACCAGGGTTACCAGGGGAAGGATTAAATAGGGCACATAATTCATAGAATTATATGAAAGATGTTTTTCAGGTGAGGTTTGAAAGGACTAGACACTGACGAGAGCAGAGCTTTAATGAATAAAAATCTGAATCTTTCAACCAGTTTGTTTCAAATGATTTTTTTTCCCTTTGAGACAAGGTTTTGTTATGTAAGCCAGGCTGGTCTTAAACTCATGGCAATCCTCCTGCTTCAGCCTCCCATGTCCTAGGAGTAGAGGTATGTTCCACTGTGCCCAGTGCTCTCATCTTTGAGAACACAGTTTTGGGGTCAGACCAGGTGATGTTCCCTTGAAAACAGTTTAAATTCAGTCTTGGTGTTTTGCCACCCCTTCCCTTAATATCTCACTGTTTCAACCTTCCTTGGTTGAGAGACCATTTGCCCAGGAATCTGAAATATGTGAGCTCAGAGTGTACCTTCTGGGCCGAGCCTTATTTCTTTCTGTGTGGAGCCTTGCTAGTGGCATTAAGAGGGCCTGTTTGATTCAGGATCATTGGAACATTGTCTCTGGAGGGGAAATGCCAGTTTGAACATTTAAGACTATGCTTCTAGGCTTAACTTTTCATTCCCCAGCAAGTGAAAACTAAAACTTGCCAAACTCTTTTAAAGTCTATAAAATACGGTTGGTGTAATATGCCAGCCTCAAATGAGGACAAAATGGCATCTGTATGTAAATAAGATCCATGAGAATTGAAAGATGCTACAAAAACTTAGGAATTTGGTTTTTTTCTCACCTTCCCCTTTTCCCTTCCTCCCTTCTTTTCTCCCTTCCTCCCTCTCCTTTTCTCTTTCTCCAATACTGAGATTGAACCCAGGACCTTTGCTCTGAGCACCTCTCCAGTCCCCCAACTCATGCCTTTTGAGACAGGATCTCTCTAAGTTACAAAGTTGTCCAGGCTGGATTCAAACTTGCAGTCCTCCTGTCTCAGCCTCCCACAGTACTGGGATTACTGGCATGCATCATCACACCAAGCTGTTTTTTATATCTCTTGAAACTCCTACTGGCCTTCTGTGCCGTGCAACTTCCAACTAAATAACTCTTCAGACACATCCATGTTCTCTATTACTACCAGATTTCAACTCCAAATCTCTGGCCTACACTTACGTTCTGAGCTAGAAAATAAGGCCTTGGGGACCATAAGAATGATTTCAACTTCTCATTTTTCTTAAGGTCCAGAGTAGTGCCAGGACCTAAAATGATTGCACACCTCTTTGTCCCTTGGTACTACCCCACTCTTGTTTAAACCTCCCCCTTGTTCCAGTTATTTTATGAGATCAAGGAAGAATGTAATGTAACCTTTACGTGAGTTTTACTCCTATAACCAAGATCTAAACTTTAGGCTTCTCTTACCCGAGCTTAGAAATGGGCTCTTAAACTTCACTGAGTCTGTTAGATCCAGAATCAAGCCTTGTGGCCCTGCATAACTCTAGGCCAGTGGTGGTGACTATGGCACCTTTGGAAGCCAGCTATTTGTTGTCAAAGCATTAAAATGTTCACCATCCCTGCCCTAGGCTCTTATGTCCTTTGGTGATCAAACATGCCTCCCTTAAGTCTGTCTTTAAGTTCAATTTCTAGTGATTCCTTTTACTGCTAAATTCACTAAAGAGGCTTTCTTAAACTCCAGTGGCATTTGTAGTCTATTTCCCACAATTTGGTGTCTGTTTTTTTGTTGTTGTTTGTTTGTTTTTTACTGTTTTGTTATGTGTTCCTATTGTCTTTTTAAGTAAGAAGCCCTACCCCACATCTTGGGCTTGTACTAAAGTTGAGCTCTCCCTATAATTACCAGCATAGTTGTCTGACCAACAGGCTTAGTAATGAGCAGTCAGAGGACATACAAACAAAGCTAAAAGAGCTTCCGAGGGCAGAGAGATATAGGAGACGGGAGATAGTGGCACCACTATCTTGGAGAAACTACGGAAGACAGTGGTTTAAAGAGGGATTTCAGGGGCCTGGGATGTGGCTCAGTGGTAGAGCACTTGACTCACATGTGTGAGGCTTGGGTTCAATCTGCAGTACCATAAAAAAATAAACAAAAAACCAAGAAGAACATCAGTGCTGCCATATTACTCAGAAGAGGTTTTCTGGGGTTGGGCAGTTAGCAGAGGCCTTTCCAGATAATGAAAGTATTTCTATACCACTCCTCTATCACATCCACTTCTTTACTGTCCGTGTAGAATGTCAGTAGCTGAAATTGGTCCTGCTTGTTTATTTCTAGCATATAAATCTACAGCATACTTCATAAGCATGTCTGTCTGGTTCATCTTGTATCCTCAGTATCCTGAAGAGTGCCTGACGTACAGTAAGATATGAATCAATGCTCATACTCTTCCAGTTATCCAGCTAATAAGTAAATACTGTTTTTTTGAAAACAGAGTGATGTGTGCAAATTTTCAATAATGGCTTTAAATATTACACAATTTGAAAAACAAAGTTAATCATAGATGGTGTTATAGTTTGGATCTTAAGTGTCACCCAGAAGTCTACCTGAGAAAGACTTGGTTACCAGCCTATGGCAGGATTGGGCGGGGGTAGGACTCTCATGAGGTGGGGCCTAGTGAAGGGAAGGTAGGTCCTGGAGGTTTGCCCTTGAAGGAGATATTGGAACCCTGGCCCATTCCTCTTTCTCTTTGCCTCCTGGCCACAGCAGAGGAGTCGCTTTGCTCCACCACATACTGCCCACCATGATAGTCTGCTTTGGTTCCAAAAGGCAGTGGAGCAACTGACCGTAGACTGAAACCTCTGAATCATGAACCAAAATAAATCTTCCTTTGTTTATCTTAGGTATTTTGCACAATGACGAAAAGCTGCCTAATACAAAAGATTATCTCAGAAGATAAAAGAAGGGAACATTTGTGTCTGTTTTAATCTAACTTGAAGACAAAAATTTATGGGCAGGTACAAAACGTAAATTCTCTTTTGTAACTCCTGGAACCCAGAGCTCATTATTCTGTACGAGTTTTCATGTGTATGAAAAGGAATATTATTGCCAGGCACTTAGGTGCATGCCTATAATCCCTCACTCTGGAGGCTGAGGTGAGAGAGTCACAAGTTTGAGGCCAGCCTGGACCACATGGTAAGGCCCTGCCTAAAAGAAGACTTGATGCAGTTTAAAATGATGGAGATATTGATAACCATTAAGGTTGGTTCCAAGATTAAAGAATTAATAATTAGAAATCACAGGACATGACCAAAAGTCCAGCTATATTGATACAGTGTTATTGTTTGTACATAGGTCCACATGAGGATGAGGGTAGCTTTTGTCTCTCCCTCCTTGAAGGCTTCTGAGTTGAAAAATTGAGGTCTGTCTGCAGCTGAAGTCATATCTTACTGTAAGTGTTTGGGTCATGTTTGTTTAAATGCACTAGGAGGTAAATTATCAAAATAAGTCTCCATAGGTTTCATTTTAATAAATTACTTTTGTAACTTTCTTTAAATTCTGGCAGGGACATTGATTTCCAAAAAGCAATCTTGGGTTCAAGTATTTTATACCAGTATGGTGCCAGTTACATTTTACTTAAAAAGTTTAGAAAGCCCTAAATCTGAGTCTATCACAGTAATCTAAACTTTAATTTCCTTGTTCAAGCATACAGCAGAGTTTGAATTAATAACTTAAAGTGAGGTGGGATATTTAGTAGTATAAAGCAATTAATGATACATATGTTATAAGAGTTCATAAATCTGAGGGTAAAACTTATTTTAAAAGTAATAAATTTCTTTTATTCTTACTGATAACACCAGGGCCTGGCATTTACATCCAAATAAGTATTTGTTTATGTTTTACAATTGATGTCAAATGAGAAAATACTTTATGTAGTTCTTCAATTTTGAGGTAAGAATTCACTTAAAATAGGCTGTGAATTTAATAGGCAAACATGTCTGCAACCCATTTTGAAGTTCATAAGAATCAGGTTGTAATTAAGAATTTTTCCTGTTAGCTCATCTAAAGTAGCAGGGCATAGTGGCACATATGGTGGTCATAGCACTCAGGAGGCTGAGGCAGGAGGATCACAAGTTCAAGGCCAGTCTGGACTACATAGTGAAAACATCTCAAAAAGAAGATAAAAGAAGGAAAACAAGAAAGAAAATAAAAACTACACATCTAGCCATTCATTTTTCATTTAAAGATGAAAATGCAACATCACAAATTAGATCTTCTGAAATTTCTACTAATTTTACCAAGGACTTCAAATGTTTTAGTTACTTGTAAGAATATCATATAAAAGATATGAATTAAGCATTGGACTTCAATTATAAAAAGAATAAAATATACTAGGAGAGACAGAAAGGAAATAATAAACCACAGATAAAATTAAAAATAGAATGCTAGATGTGGTGCCTTCCTATAATCCCTGGGAAGCTGAGACAAGAGGATTGCTATGAGTTGGAGGCCAGCCTGAACAACATAAGTGAGTTCAAGGCAGTCTGCACTACGTAGTGAGAGCCTGTCTCAAAAAGAAATTAAAAATTAGAGTAAGTAGATAAAATCATAATGACATTTTTGAAGAGCAATCAAGTAACCAAAGAAAATATATAAAAAGAAATGTACAAGGGTTTACAAAAAAATGATGAAAATATTGTGTATATAACTAGGCCAATGAATAAATTATTTTCTGGTAGAAGAAAATTACACATATAAGTGATGCCAACATTATCTTAAGTGGAAGATTTCAAGGAGGGAAAAAGTGTGAACATTATCTTTACATGCTTTTATGAGTGCGTTCCTTCACATTTTCAATAAACATGTAATTGTCAAGTCATTTTTATTATGACAAAAGATAGATGACATTTCTCTTAATCTGGTTTGCATTCCTATAACAAAAAAAAATTGAGTCTGGATAACTTAATGAAGAAAAAAAGTTTATTTTGGCTTATAGTTCTGGTCCAAGATCAAGGGCCCACATTTGGTAAAGACCATGGCAAGAAACAGTGTAAGTGTGAGTGTGTGTGTGTGTGCATTCTCTGGCCTCTCATCCTCTTCTTGGGAAGTCACTAGGACTCAGTCAATAGGAACGTAGTTCTCATGACTGTATCATCCCAATCATTTCACAAAGGTCCCGCCTCGCAGCACCGCCAGATTAAATTTCCACCCTTTTAATAGCTTGCAGTGAAGATTAAATTCCTTATGGGTACAGTTTAGTCATGTTAAGTATATTCAAATATAAAACAGATCTCTAGAATTTCATCTTTGAAAACTGAAATGCTGGACACACGCCAGTAATCCTAGCATTTGGGAAGTGGAGGCAAGAGGATCGCTGTGAGTTCGAGGCCAGCGTGGGCTGTGTAAGCAAGTTCAAGGCCAGCCTGCACAATATAGTGAGAACCTATCTCAGAGAAAACAAAACAAACAGAACAAAAGCCTGAGACTGTACCTGCTAAACAGTAACTCCCTTTTTCCTCTACGCCCGGTACTAGGTAACCACTAACTTTTGTCTCTCTGAAGTTGGCTTCTTTAGACTGTTTGTCATTTTGTGACTGGCTTGTCTTTGGATAACATCCTCAAGGTTCATCTGTTCTGTGGCATGGGACAGGCTTTTAAAGGCCTAATAATTAGTATTCAGTAACATTAGATACCAATTTTATTTATTCGTCTGTCACTGGGCTCTTAGGATGGTCCCACCTCTTGGCAATTCTGACTAATATTGCTATGAACAAATAGAATGTTGTCAGGGGTAAGAGAGACCCGTTCTGATTACCACAGGTGTCTCAAAGGGTAGTATAGTCAATTAAATGAAGTTGGATAAAGAAAGTACTAGGGGCTGGAGATTTAGCTCAGTGGCATAAGTGCCAGCCTTGCAAGCAGGCAGTCGTGAGTTCGATCCCTGGTACCAATAAAAATGAAAAAGACAAAAAAAAAAAAAAAAGAAAGAAAGAAAGTACTAGAGCCTACCTTATAAGTCAGAATTCTAGAAAGTGGTTGGACCTAAAAGAGGGCTGCAAGGATGTCCCCTAAATGTTATATTTTTAGATTTTGCAGCTGCACATGGCAGCACATGCCTGTAATCCCAGCACTTGGGAGGCTGAGACAGGAAGATCATTGTGAGTTCAAGACCATCCTGGGATACACAGGCTGAGCTCCACACCAGCCTGAGCTACATAGCAAGAGCCTGTCTCAAAACAAAACAAAATAAAATAAAACTTCATAAATACCTTTCCAGTAGAGGTAACAACCATTGTAATGGGAGTGGTATCACATTCATCCCAGCAGCTAAAAATATAAATACCTTAGAACAAAATTGAGAGGAAAGGAGAATGTTCTATGAAGAAAACTGTTAAGCTTTTCAGATATGCATGACGAAAAATCAATGGAAAGATAGTAGGGGCTGGTGATTTAGCTCAGCGGCATAAGCGCCTGCCTTGCAAGCAGCAGTCATGAGTTCAATTCCTGGTACTGATAAAAAGGAAAAAGACAAAAAAAAAAAAAAAGATAGTACTGTATTTCATGAGGGAAATACTGCTTTAAATACGTTAATTCTTCTGTAGCCTATAACTATAAAGGTAAGAACACTAAAAAACTCATTTTTAAGCTTAACATATTTCAAAATTAATCTTGGAGACATGAAATAACCATTTAAAAAATTGAAAGTATGTTGGGGAAACTTCAGCTAACTTATTATAAACCTCTAAGATAAAATAACACAATGCTTGCAAAGACTATATAAAGAATTCACAAACTTTATTGTTGAAGGAAATAAGCAAAACTTAAATTATTTAAGTTGTCCAAGGCTGTAGAATTTCAAATTATGGTGTTGGACTTCCAAATAGATGCTCTTAACTACACTGAAATGTTACTTTCTAAAATACATATAGACACATATATACAGAAAAACTATGAGAAACATAAGAGTATTAACATTAGGGGGTAGGGGATTTAGCTCAGTGGCTCAAGCACTTGCCTGGTAAGCATAAATTCATAAATTTGATCCCCAGCACCAAAAACAACAACAAAAAACTATTAATATTGGTTATCTATAGGTAATAGAATTATGAGATGATTATTCTCCCCTATGTCTGCCTATTTTTTTCCTTCTATTCTTATTAAACTGTTTTCCAAATGTGCTACAGAGAACAGGCATTGCATTTTAACTGGACAAAAAGAACAATACCTTCTATTTTCAGAAAGCACAACTCCACTGTCCCTTCAAAATGGGAACCCAGCCAAGACCTTATTCTTGGACAGCATTGTTGAAAGGGCTTTAAGAAAGCTCTCGGGCACAGCAGCAGAGCCATGTCATATATGGAAGCCTTCCACAAGTGTGACCTCACTGCTGGGCCCTGTTCAACATAAACTTTGCCTGTAAGAGCTAGCAGAGATCTTTGGACAAAACCTGGCAGTAGAAAGCCAAGAAAGATCTAACCTAAGGAGAGAATCCTGGTCTTACGGCCTGAAGAAGTCTTGAATATCTAAATAGGCTTAGCAGATCTTCCCTGTGATAATTCCTAGAGAAAGGTTACTTTTTCCAAAAGAGATCTCCTACAATAACCTATGGTTATTTCTGTCATTTTTCTGGACCTAAGAGCACAGGGTGTTATTTATGTTGGACAAATTGTAGTGGCTTATCAGGTGGGTGATGGAAATGGAAACATCTCCTAGACTAAAGGAAGTAAGACTATTCTTAGAAATTTCTCTACCTTTCCCTGTAGTTAGCTGGGCCATACCCAGCAGCTTCTCTTTTCATCTCAATTTGCCTTTTAAAAAGTTAGTAGCCTCATACCAATGCAATCCCATCCAAATTCACCATCCTTTCTGTCCACAGTATTAGTCTTCTTGCCACCTTAAATGGTTCTTAGTGCCCTGTTCCTGCTCACTTTATTTATATACCTGAGTCTCGAGCTCCTTCACCTAGCCTAGTGTTCCACACACATCCTTCCATGATTTAGGACTTTTAAATTATTTTAAATTGCATTCATGTAAACTCAGAGTAAGATCACACAAATATTTTAGTTCCCAATCCCAGTGTTGCTTTGAAAGAACAAGGCTTCTG